ACAAGGTAAGGGGCTGCAGAAGCAATTATACAACAAAGACAAGGTCCAATGAGCTGTGGTAACGTATATGGGACAGAACATTTTGACACTTATATATATACACAAGCGTGTCGGTTGGGGGACCTCAATATTTACAAAACATTTACATAAGTGGAGTTCCCAAGACCTGACTTTACAAACATTCAGAACTAACATAAGTACAAAACAGCCATGTAACTAGATTTCGATCGGAACCACCTCGGGAGGCACAACGGTTGGCTAACAAAAATAGAACAGAAGGCCTTCAACTCTGGCCCTGGTCACACGCCGGCTCACCTACATACATAATATAAACTGTGAACTAAAACCCAATGAATAATAACAGAGTAAAGGATTTAATGAATGATGTCCATCACAGAGTTAGAAATCAAATTCTTAACAGAGACAGATTCAAATACATATTCATAATTATTTCCATAATCAGATTTCGCATATAATCATACGTGGTACATCCCTTAGCGTTAACAAATCCGATGGGCCATAAAGGGACGACCTTGAAGGCATTCTGATGACTCATGTGCACAGAGACGTTTCTGATGACCCATAAAGGGACTTGATGACCCATAAAGGGACGCATATCAAATGATGCTAAGGATGCCACGAATAACTTTCAGAATTTTGGACAACCATTCATTCATTTCAAACAGAGCATGGTGTTTCAGAGAACTAATTACTTCGTATCATAATATTCAGAAAATACTTAACATTAAACATAACTTTACAAAGTTATTACTCACAGATGATTGGTAGCCCTAACTAGATGGTAAGGTGGCCCTTCACTTGTTTTGAGGCGCGTGACCTACATGAACACACATATGAACATACACTTGAAACACACGTTCGAATTGTACATAACTTATGTCGTTTGCTCTTAGTGTGTTTCTAATCTCTTATCCTCATTATAGGGTCTTAAACATGGCCTAGGAATGCCTAGGATGGAATGAGGATGTAAGAATGCATTGAAAACCATTTCTCAAATTTTGCTGAAGATAAGGTCCACGCTCGAGCGTGGCTTTCCTCGCTCGAGCGGACATGCAGATAAAGAAGCTTCGCTCGAGCGTGGACTTCCCTGCTCGAGCGAACCGCAAACTTATGAAAAAGTGTTGGATGCATGAAATTCACGCTCGACGGGCGCTCGACCCCCGCTCGAGCGTGTGACATAGACCCTCGCTCGAGTGTGGCTTCCCCCGCTCGAGCGGACTACAAAACACACAAACTTCTGGGTATACACATTTCACGCTCGAGCGTGACTCTCGCGGCTCGAGCGGAAGTGCATGTACTCAGGCTTTACGCTCGAGTATGAAAGTCCCCGCTCGAGCGTGGGTCAAATTTCTAGAAAATCCAGATTGACCTCCAAACATGAAATTCAACATTCAACCATCCAAAACTCAATTTTTCTGGGCCAAAGCTTTGAAAAACCCTTGGTAACACATAAAACAACATGTTTAAAGCTTCAATTCAAGAAATTATGGCCCAAGAATAACCCAATTATGCACAAACTCAACTTACTCTTTATAAAAGATCCAAAACATGATATGCATGTACATCGATGAGCTAAAGCTCTCCAAAACATAACCAAACTTGATAATTTGATGGAAAACAAGAAGAATGACCAAAATGCAGGTGAAGTTAGCACATGCATGGAAGAAACCTTTGAAATCATGCTCAATTTGCAAGAAAATGTACATGCATGCATGGTATGGCCCATTTCTAGTACAATTCCCATATGAATTCACTTAGTTCCCTAATGACCTTGTTGAATCGAACTCAATTACTCAAAGGAGAGTTTAGTTTCTTGCCTAGAGGCTCCAATCTACAAAATTAAGGTTGAGGCTCTACAAATCTTCTTCAATTGTTAACAATCCTTAGCACCTCCTTGAATTTGAGCTAAATCTCTAAATCTTGGACCAATTCTTCTACTCTCACGTTTTTGGGTCTAAGAGGACTCAAGAGTGTATGTAAAATGAAGAAGGGAGTGAGTGGGGGGTGTTATTGTGCTCAAAATGGCCACTAAGGCTCTAATTAGGCCATTAAACAAAATGTGCTTAGCAAAGTTGATTAGTGACATTAATTTAATCAAATTTAATCATTCTGAACCGAATTTTAATTAAACCTACCATGAAATTCTATAAATCCTAACAAGCACATATATCAAGTCAATTTCGAAATCGGGCGCCGATAAGGCTTTCAATTCGCAATTCAAAACTAACACATGAACATATATTTCTATGCCTAACAGATATAAACACAAAAATCATGCAATACTCATGCAAATTAGTTCCAAATCCTTCCTAAATTATTGTTAAGCTTAACTAATGACGAATTAACGTTAATCTGGGGTCGGGGTTATTACAGCAACGCAATTCAAAACATGTGCTTGAACCTCTTGGAAACTTCAGAACATTTGTATTTATTGTTTTATTCCTAGTCCAAGACATAATTTTCAGCTTCTTCAAAACCATGGCAGTCCCCAAAGATACCTTACCAACTTCATTTCCGCCTTACACCTTGTAAGTCCACTAAATTCAATTGTCTCTAGGCAGAGTGACAGACATTGGGGCACTCTCATTGGTGGCCACCACCACACACATGACTTGCAACATTTTAATTCCTAACAACAATCACAATCAAAAGTATCGAAGAAACAAATTTAAAATAAAATAAAATAAATTGAAATGATCTCCTAATAACTGAACTAACCTTGTTGAAAACTAAAACTTGAAAATTAGGCATGTGTCTGAGCAAGACAGGCAAAATCGACCATTCAATATCCTTAATGCCTCTATTAAAATAAAATAAAAAATCTCGAATGCCTAATCGGTCAAATTATGAAACAATAGTATCTTATATTCAGAAGTTTGGATGACAACCAAAGAAACATTAAAAAAAGAAGACAAAAGATGAGATTTTATATTCAACTGATAAGAGTAATAATAAAATTATCACCGCAATAAAAATAAATAGATAATTACCTTGAGGGTGTGACTAGATAACGGCAAATGTTGAACATTACAAATTTTTCCAAGCATCCCAACTACGCCATTACTGTAATCATCACTTCTTTCAATAACAGAACCAGGGAATGAAACCCTAAAATTTGCTTTAACTAAAGAGGGGAGTTCATCCACGTCAAAATCCTTCAACACATAATCAAATGAGCTCAAGGTTTTCAAGAGCTAGGGCTTTAATCACAACGCCATATCGGAAACTTGTTTCTTTGGCATTATTATATGTATGTAATTTCATTTTTTTCAAAGCAGATGAGTATATGCATGATGTCCTTATGTTATCCTGCTCAATCCTATCAATGTCCAATTCTTCAATGACCAGGCAACCAGAGAGGAGGTCTTTGAAAGAACCATCATCAAGAAATGTCAATGAATGAAGATGGAGGACCTTGAGACGTGGCAAAAACACTGGCACAAGAAATTGGAAGAAAACATCACCAGTTAACTTCAAAATCACAAGATTGATAGAGATAAAGAGGCTTTGAGGAAACTTAATGCGAAACCCTAGTTTGAAATTGAGAACCTCTTGAACACTAAGCTTGATAGCGCCGTAAAATCCATGAAGCCAAAACTTAAGCCTCGTTTGGGAACAGGCTAATTTAGTAACTTTTTGACTATTTGGCTAAAAAAGTAGGTAAAAAAAACTTATATGTTTGGGATGACTTTTTGGCTAATTACGAAAAGATGTGCAAAAAGTAGAAAGAAAAGAGAATCTTTGACTTTTTGGTATGAGTTGTTGACTTTTTGGCTAAAAGGGTAACTTTTTGACTTTTTGACTAAAAAGGTAAGTCCCTAAACGGGGCCTTAGATCCTCATTGTTTCTCAAAGTACAACTGTTTTAAGTAAATAGTGGGGACTGAAGTCCAAATGGATTTCCATCTAGTTGATAATAAGCTGGTTCGGGTAGCACATTTTGTGGGCATAAAAGACAATATATGAGAAAGAATTGCATCTGGCAAACTGTTGACCCGATCTTTTTCTTCGTAAACATCACCGAGTTTCGATTTCTGGTCATACTTCTGAGTTGTTGAGGATTGATCTTTTATTACAACCTCTGGTATGCTTATATGTAAAAGAGAAGTGAATCAGAAAGAAAGAAGAAAAGAAAAAGTGAGACTTAGGGCTAGGGATTCATCCATTCAGGTAAATGATTATAGAAAAATAAATAGTAAATGTAACAAGAAAATTCCAACAATGGGATAGTCTGTGAGAATATATTAGGGATTTTATGTATGTACGGTAGTATATATATTTTGTATATTGAAATAAGTCGTATTTCCTTTTTCGTTATAGGGTTAGATTGTTATATAAACCAATGTATTCTTGTATTACGAAAACAATTGAATAGACAGAAATCTTACATGGTATCAGAGCCATCTTTAAAACCCTAAAACAACAGTCACGACATCCTCTAGTTTGGAATTATAATCTAGGTGTTTGGTGGTTCAATTAAGGTTGTTCTCTGGGTCGTTAGAGTTGACCCATCCTGTAATCTATCTCTGGTTCGTCAAGATTTGATAAATCTATCCATCGTGATTCGTCTGTTCATCAGTGTTGCCCTTGCTCTCTTTATCTGTTCGTGGCAACTTATCTGGGTTCAGGTTCGAACCTATCATCGCAACCCATTTGAGTTGAAGAGGACTCTGGTCATTTATCTCTGCCTCTCTAGCGCTTCGTGTGAAGGTCTGGTCTGTCCTCTCTCCTTGCGAAGGACAACTCCCTGGTTCTCATCTGATTCTGGTTCAATTCGTCTCTCTCTATGGTTCGTTGCTGGTTTGCTGGTTGCTTCAAAGTGGGTTCAGGTCTTCTCTTTCTCTGCTTGTGATTGGCGATAGATCTCTGTTATTACATTTTGATCCATATAGTGCTAGTTTTGGGTTATTACAATTTGACCCATCAATTTTCTATTTATTATACTTCACCCAATTGGTTCTCTATATTTGGTTCATTATAATGTCAGATACCTATAAGCTTCAGTCTCCTGCAAAGCCTAAGACGGGGCTACTGGCGTTAGATGAGTGTGCTTTTTTCATCAGCAAGCCCATTGGAAGTATCATTGTCCCAAGAAGGGACGTTTGTCTACCTCATCTTTTTAGCAGTCTCAGACTTAGTTCCATGCTCTTTTTCAGAGTACTTTTTAGACTCCAGCCACTTATACTGCATTTGTTCCGGTTCTTGATCCTAATTTGGCTTCCTTGAGTGCTCCGATTGCTCAGCTTTAGCATATATTGTCTACCTTCTAACCCTCATAGTCTGCCTCAGTTGTTTCCTCTCTTCATTCAGGTTTGCTTGGGTCTCCTTCAGATATCTCTTCGTCTATCTGGATTTTTGACTCTGGTGCCTCTCATCATATGACTCCTCATCGCTTATTCCTTCAAAATTGTACTCGCCCTCCCTTTCCTATTACTGATAATGCTACTAATGGATCTGGTATGTCTGTTATATCTGTTGGATCTGTCTTACGTCTGCTATGTCTGCTGTCTTTATTCCATTTGTCCTTTATGTTCTTCAGTTATTTGTCAGTTTATTAACTATTAGTCAACTTTTTGCCTTTGGTTTTGATGTTATCTTTTCTTCTTCTCTTTGTTCTGTGCAGGATCAAATATCTAAACAGTAGATTAGGACTAGCCGTAGAGTTGGAGACCTCTATGTGGTGAAGAGCTTGCATCTGCTTGTGACAACTTCTCCAACTATTTTCCCGCTTTTCAGTTAGATTCTTTGTCCAGTTCTTTCTACTTGTGGTATTCTAGATTAGGGCACTTGTCTGCTGACCGCTTACGGTCTTTAGCACAGTCAGGTATATTAGGTAACGTTTCTCCTAGTGAACTTACTGAATGTCGGGGGTGTAAACTTGTCAAAATGACAACCTTACCGTTTCGTAAAAGTACTTCTATATTTAATACACTGTTTTCTTTAGTTCATACTGATGTTTGGGGCCCTTCTCCTGTTCTCACCAAAAGGGGTTCAATATACTATGTGTCATTTGTTAATGACTGCACTCGTTACATTTGAATTTATCTTATGATTCATAAGTCCAATTTCTATCAGATATATCGTACATTTCAGTGTATGATTACTACTCAGTTTGGGTCTACAATTAAAGTATTACGGTCTAACTTGGGTGGAGAATATTTTAAAAATAAGTTTTGTGAATATTTGGCCAATTTGGGTACCTTTCACCAAACTTTCTACATAGATACACCTACCCAGAATGGCCGAGCTGAGCATAAACACCGTCATCTCCTTAAGACAGCTAGGTCTCTTCTTTTCTCTGCCTCAGTTTCGGCTTCATTTTAGAGAGATGCAGTTCTTATTGGTGCTTTTCTTCTCAATCGCATGCCTACTCCCCTTCTTTTTGGTCGATCTCCTTATGAGACTTTGTTTTTCTAAATTTCTAACTACTCCTTCCTTCATGTGTTTGGGTCTGCCTGCTTTGTTCTTATTCCTTGCAAAGATAGGACCAAATTTAATGTCCGGTCTGTTCTATGTGTCTTTTGGGGTTATAGTCCTACTCAGAAAGGCTATCGATGTTACGACCCTGTTTCTCGTCATCTTTATGTCTCCCGTCATGTTTTTTTTCTCAAATGTCTACCTTACTTTCAGTTTCCTCCTATCAATGCTCTGATTTCTAAAGAGGATTTGATTCACATTGATCCATTTTCTTCTGAGGTTCCTCTTGATGAGTACATCTCTTCCGTTCCCCATGACCTTGTTCCCTCTTCTCCACCTTCCACCCCTTTTGTTGATTACCTCTCCACTGACCCCCCCGAGGCTATGCCTACTTCTTTTCCTGCTTCACCTCTGGTTTCCTCTCCTCCTTCGACTTCTTCTCCGCCTCTGTTGTTAGTCTATTCTCGTCGCCAAGCTCCCCATCTACTAGTTGTCTCTGCCCTGGCTGCTCTCTCTTCTGCTTTTGAAGACTCTGATCCTGTTGAACATCGATATCCTACTCGAGTACGTCGTCCTCCAAACAGGTTAGGTTGGTCTAATATATGTTTTTCTGTTTCATATCATACTTTTTTGTCTGCTATTCTTTCTTTTTCAGAAGCTCAGTCTTATAAGGAGGCCTGTCAAGATTCCAATTGGATTCGACCTATGGAAGATGAGTTGTCTGCTTTGCAAAAAACTAGTACTTGGGAGTTGGTTCATTTGCCTACTGGTAAGAATCTAGTTGGTTGCAAATGGGTCCACAAAGTCAAGACTCATTCTGATGTTCTCTTGAGTGTTACAAGGCTCGTCTGGTTGCTAAGGGTTTTTCACAGGAGTATGGTATTGATTATGAGGAAACATTTGCCCCTGTTGCCAAGATGACTATTGTCCGTACTTTGACATCTATCGCAGCTGTTCGCCATTGGCCTCTTTATCAAAGGGATGTCAAAAATGCTTTTCTTAATGGTCATCTCGCTAAGGAGATTTACATCTTAGTTGTATGAAGCAGGAGCGAGATCGGAATCGGAGAATCGTAGACATTCTAAGAAGAATTGGTAGGGAGCGTTTGTATATATATATTAAATAATATAATATAGGCAAATTACACAAATAGTCCCTATAGTTTGAGACTTGTATCACTTTAGTCCTTGACTTTTCAATTGTGACACATTTGACCCTGAATTTTGAATCTTATTTTAAATAAGGACAATTGAATATATTATTAAATTTTTTAAGGGTAAAATTGTCAATTTGATAAAATATAAACTAATTTCACAAAAATAAATGTCAAACAAATATTTTTGAATTTTAAAAAATTATTTCTACCTACTAAAAATAAAATTATGTAAAATAGATAAATCTTTTAGACATTTATTTATTTTTTTACCAAATTAATTTTTATTATGTATTTGGATGATGATCATGTAAAATTAATTTAAAAAAATTAATCATGTAATTTTTATTAATTTTACATAATTTTATCATTAGTGGATAAAAATAATTTTAAAAAAATAAAAAATATTTTTTTGACATTTATCTTTGTCAATTTAGTTTATATTTTATCAAATTGACGATTTTACCCTTGAAAAATCTAATGATATTTTCACTTGTCCTTATTTGGAACAAAATTCAAAATTCAGAGTCAAATGTGTCACAATTGAAAGTCAGGGACCAAAGTGACACAAGTTCCAAACTATAAGGACTATTAGTGTAATTAGCCCTATAATTAGCCTTAAAATACATAAAAATATATTGTAAGATTATATATTTTTTTCCTCTAATGATAATGAAAATATATGTTATAATTTTTTTTTAAAAAAAAGTACTATAAAAATTATATGTTAAAATATTATAATTATATACTTTTACTGAGCTTGGGTTTCATCCTTCTGCTTCCGACTCTGCTTTGTTTTTGAGATGTACCTCGGCTGGTTTGGTTGCTGTCTTACTCTATGTGGATGATATGATCATCAGTAGCTCTGACTCTTCTGCTATCTTTGAAGTCAAACAACATCTCTTTTGCAGCTTCGAAATAAAAGATCTGGGTCCATTGTGGTATTTTCTTAATATTGAGGTTGCTTCTTCTCCAAGGGGTTATTTTCTATCTCCAGCTAAGTATGCTAATGAGGTCAATCACCGTGCTGATCTTACTGATACTAAGGTTTCTGATACACTTATTGAGCTTAATGTGAAGTTCAACTCTACTGATGATGTCCCTCTGGCTGATCCCACTTTATATCGCGAGTTTGTGGATTGTTTAGTTTATTTGACGGTTACTCGTCCCGATCTTGCTTATGTTGTTCATATGGTTAGCTAGTTTGTTTCTGCTCCTTGCTTCACACATTGGGCTGCATTGGTTCGGATTCTTCACTATCTCTGAGGTACTGTATTTCAGAGTTTACTATTGTCCTCTACTTCCTCTCTAGATTTGGTGGCCTATGCTGATTCTAATTGGGCTAGTGATGTTACTGATCACAAGTCCACGTTTGGTTTCTGTATGTCTCTTGGCGATTCCTTGATCTCTTGGAAAAGCAAGCAACAAACTGTTGTTTCTCGCTCTACTATCGAAGCTGAGTATCGTGCTATGGCTTATGCTATTGCCGAGATTGTTTAGCTTTGTTGTCTTCTATCTGATTTGGGTATCCCTCAGTCTTCTCCGACTTCTCTTTATTGCGACAACCACAGTGCTATTCAGATTGCCCATACCACTGTTTTCTATGAGCGGACGAAACATATTAAAATTGATTGTCACTTTTTTCGTCAGCATCTGCAATCTGGCACTATTTCACTTCCTTTCGTCTCTTTAGCTCTGCAACTTGCTAACTTCTTCACCAAGACTCACACCACTGCTCGGTTTCAGTTTTTTTTTTGACAAATTCTCAGTATTTTCTGCTAAAACACCTTGAGTTTGAGCACTGTATTAGGGATTATATATATATATGGTAGTATATATATTTTGTATATTGAAATAAGTTGTTTTTCCTTTTTCGTTATAGGGTTAGATTGTTATACAAACCAATGTATTCTTGTATTATGAAAACAATTCAATACACAGAAATCTTACATAGTCTTGCTTCCAAAAGAACTAAAAATCTAAACTCGTAAAGTGAAATATATATATATATATATATATATATATATATAGATTCTCAAAAAATTAGGATACAAACACAACATGGATACAACCAAAAAAAAAAATAATTGTAATTTTTCACCTAAATAAGAAAAGAGAAATTATTGTGGTATCTCACCATCTGTTTTGAAGGACAATGACTAAAAAATGACACGTGCCTTCTTAATTGTATTTGCTTCGTATTTGCTGGTGTAATTTTATTTGCTTTACTCATCATTCAAAAATAGCCCCCGAGTTCCCCAAGTCGTTGTGGACATATTGCACTTTACCTCTCTACTGTGATTAGTTTCATCCAAATTGACGAAAATTGTATTACACATGCCTATTTTGAGAGTCACATAAAAAAACATTCAAATCCAATGAAAAGGACAATTATGCAATTTTTTCAACTTCTTCCATATTTGAAAACCTTAACCTAAAAATACATAACCTTAACCCATCCATCACCCCACGGCACCCCTAACCACCTCCCTTCTACCTCATCACCCCCTCCCTCCGTCGCTCGCTTCCTTCCTCTCCTTCAAACAAATCAATGAAAATTTGAATTACTGTTTTGTTAAACTAATGAGAGACTTTGACTACAATATCTTTATTTTTGGTCTGTTGCTACAACAAGCACAAAAAGACAAACAGCCAACAGAAAGAAACAACTTGAAACCTGAAGGCTCTAACCCAAAACTGGATCCAGGCTCCACTCCTTTTGAGTCACATAACAAAATTCTATCTACCTCAGCAGGATTTGCAATTGCAGAAGGGCATGAAGATTTGGAATTTTGGGATTTTATTTGAAATTGGAAGTTGATCAAAATTTGATTACAAAATTTGGGATTTGTTTTTTCAGATCCAATTTGCAGCTTGGTTACCATATCTGCGAACATGTTGAACCATAGAAGAAGATCTGATAGCTTCACGGCCATGAGAAGAATGAGAATTTCATTTCATTTGAAAAAGAACAGAAAATGAAGATTACGTTTCCGGGATGTTGTATGATATGTTACAAAAAGAGGTCATAACATTTCACGAAGCTTGCCATGAGAAAGATCAGAGCCCTAAGGTCAAGGATGATGCTATTGACTTTGGAAATTATGTATATGTACATGTTTAGTTTGCTCTGTCTCTCTATCTTTATAATATTGTTTCTAATGTGTATCATCCAATGGAAGTTGATGCCAAGCATATGAGAAGAGAAGTCACTGCCATGAAAAAGGAAGCAACACCTCAATGCTCCATGGGTTGCTATAAATGGTGTTCAGCTACATTAATCAAAGCGAAATACTATGAGATCTTCCAAAGTAATAATGTGAAGTACCCTATGACGTACTGCTTTTATTGGTCCATTATTGACTCCACATGGGAATAAAGATACTCTTGCTTTAGAGGATTACTAGTAAATTTGATAACTTTTAGTTTGATTCTTATCTCTTCTACTCTTTCACTTCCCTTCCATCTTTCCTCTTTTTCCATCCATTTCTGCAAAACTTCTATAAACATATTTACATCACATGCATATGTATAGAACTAAATACATACAAATACATATCTTTATACACATGTATATATAATTGTGTGCATATAATACATTTGATATACACACACACATTTATGTAGATGCATATATACATACCTAAATAAATCAATAAATCAAATACATATCTGTCACTATACCAAGATAACTTCTTCTTGTATTGATAATAGGATCAAAGGAAAAACTCAACTATTTTACAAAATCATGATGGTAACTTTAATTTTTTTATCCCAACAATATACCTTTTGATGATGAAAGAGCAGAACCCTTTCTAACTTTTAAAACAATTTTCATTATGACACCAAAACTCATTTAAACCTTTCGAAAAAACAAAAAAACAAAACACCCTTTCTTATTTTAGTGAGCAGCAAATATTGAGGGATATGGTGCTATTTTTTTCTTTTTCATTTCTATAAATAATAATAGACACAAAGAAATGTTCCTCTACAATGAACTAGATTTGAAAGAATAATATTGACCAATTAAAAGAGAACTTTACAGAACACTGCATACATTAACTTCAGATGAGCTGGATTCTTTTATGAGTTATGGGTTCTATGTGAGAGTGTTTAGTTCCTAGAAGGTATTCATTACTTGCTTTATGTGTATATTCAGTATCCACCCTTTCGAGCAACTCCAACGTTACTCTTCATTTTTCACTAGGTAATGTATAAAAATGGTATAATCTATATCATATCTAATCAATTTTTCATCTATGTGCTCCAATGCTACTCTTTATTTTATCTATCTATCCACACACAAACTGCTTAAAGAGCCTCTCAAGACTCTCTAAATGTGGTTAATCTGAAAGAATTTTATTAAAATAGTTAATATTGTAGTTATCCCGTTGAAGGGAGTAAAATAAGGTAGGCCGACTACAATAACCAACTGACCTCTAGTTGGAGATGCTCTAAGTGTAGAATCAGAGTAATTTGACATGTGTATAATAGAGGTGAGAGAAAGAAAACATAAAGCAAAACACAAAGGACATGTTTGGTGCAACTTATTGTAAACTGAAACTATAAGCAACCCTCTCCCAACTTCCAAATAATTAGCTTATTTAAGCTATTTGTGTCTAATAAACTATAAGGAGAAGTTACACCAAACAACACATACTGCCAAGTAAAAATAAGCTATAATCAGCCCATTTAAGCTGCAACAAACAGGCTAGAGAGGCATTAAGGTTATTTTACAAATTCCATTAACAAGTTAGCATTACACTTTTTAATTCAAAATCATGTGAGTACTTTTTAACTATTTTTAAATGTTAGGGTAAAGTGCTTTTTGGAGTAAAATAGACTTTGCCCAAATGTTTATAAAAGCTCATCACAGATCATCGCTTTTGTTCATAAACAAAATGTCAGCATAAGGGATTTCTGATTTCCACCATTATTCACCACTTTAATAATTAAAACAAGTGATGAGAGACTTTTTCTTTTTCTTTTTCTTTTTTATATCAAATTCTTTTCTTTTTGTCACCAAACCTCTCAATCCAAACAAATATTGTTAGAAAAGATGAAAGTAAAGTAAACATATAAACTAAAACACTTAATAAAACCTCCCCTGTTTTTGTTTATTTACAACATCCAAATGAATTTCAACCATCAAAACACTAATTTGGAGAAGCAATGTATGATGAAATGTAAATAGAAAAACAAGTTGAGAGAGAGAGATAGATTACTTTGACCGTCGAGATTGAACGGAGAGAGAGAGAGAGGTCTCTGTTCTCTGTTCTTGTTGAAGATTTGCCGAGCAAGATTCAGACTTGGAACTCCAAAAAATAGTTTGGTTAGGCTTAGTGGATTGATTTTTTATTTTTTTAATTTTTTTTTAGTTATTTTGATTTCGTTTGAGAATTAATTATTTTAATTAGTTTTTAAGGTGGATTATACTAACCGTCTATAGTTTAGACCTCGGGTTATTTTGGTATTTGATTTTTTAATTGTAATATATTTGATATTAAAATTTAAATTTTATTCTAAATAAGAATAATTGAATATATCATTACTCATTTTCAAAGACAAAGTAGTCAGTTTAATAAAATATAAATTAATTTGACAAAAATAAATGTCAACAAAATATTTTTGAATTTTTAAAAATTATTTTTACCCACCAAAAATAAAATTATGTAAAATTAATAAATCTTTTACACATTTATTTTACCAAATTAATTTTTATTATGTATTTAGATAATAATCATTTAATAGGTGGTTGTTAGGTTTTTAATGTGTAAACGATATATTTAAATGTTTTTAATTTTGGATTTTTTAATGAAAAAATTACTCATAAATCTCATTTTAATAAATGTTGCTCTAATTAGTCCTAAGTGTTTTTTCTTAAACCATTTAGTCCTTTTTATTTTTAATATAATATATAATTTTGATGTATTGTATATAGAGTTTACATTTTTATCCATTGAACAACATCATCAAACCTTGTGAAGATTCCCACTGCAAAACGCTTAAAAAAGGACTCTTCTTCTTCTTCGAAAACCCTAAAATTAGTTCCAAAGCGTGTTAACACCATCGATTCTTCAACTCTTTGCAAATCGGCTGATCATTTCGATATCCCTACTTCTTCCTCTGGTCTCACTGCCGATGAGAAATCGAGGATCCAATTCAAGAAATTACAGGCTCAATCCAGAAGAAACCTCCGAATCTGTTTGGATCGTCTCTCTAACTCCTCCGTTTCAAACCTTTTCTTTTTTGATAAGTAATCATCAAACACCATGATCAACATCGCAACATCAGCGTCTGCAACATCTACGCAATGATCAACATCGCAACATCAGCGCCTCCACACCAATGCCTTGGCCTTTTTTTGAGATAGAAATCCCTCTTTTCTAAGTTCTCTCCCTATGTAAATGTATATGTATATGTATATGTATATGTATATGTATATATATAATTTTTTTTCCCTTATCTATGATAAATCTCCATGATTGAAAGATTGAAAG